TTCCACATAATCATTGTGATATGTATTGAGAACATTTGGTTTAATCACCAAAAAACAACAGTAAGATTTTCTTTCAACTTAGTACTTTTTACCATCAGTTCATTCAAGAGCAAACAATGCGAGATACGTTTCTAATCACCTTTGTTGCTGAAATAATTTCAGTAATAGAGGCAATAACTGTCATGTTAGAAAATACACTTACATTACCTAGCTTGCATAACTCACATAAAATCCATAATGTTTGTAAAAGTATTTATCCAGTGTGTTACTGTATCAAAAGGTATGATAAAGGTATGACATGGCCATAAGGTTTGGTGCTAGAACAGGGTTTACTGTCAATGCAGTATGACATATGACTGAATCTATACTGTAACTGAACTTTTCAGATGAAAGGTGAGTTATAGTAATGTGCAGTCTTCTTTACCATGGTAATGCCTCTATATACAGTATCACATGGCATAATGTAATGTAATTTGTATTTAATAATGTATTTGATTCCATCTGTCTCCCTTCTTCTGATACATCTCTAATCAGTCTCTGATCAGTTCCTCTCCTTTGATTGATTGATTGATACTTTATTGGTCCTTTACAGGAAATTACATTTTCACGGCAGCTTCAACATACAAAACACAGCACCACACATAACAAACAAGTAATTTCTAACTCTACAAATCTACAATATAAAAGCGAGAGAATGAAGTGCAAATAATAATAAGTACAAAACTAGACTGTACTAGATATTTACTATATATACAGTACCAATAATTCATGTTATCATCACATTAAACAATCTGATAGCCACTGATAGAAAATACTTCCTGCTGTGCTCAGACTTGCATTTTGGTGCAATCAGTCTGTGACTGAAGGTGCTGCTATTGATCACCCCCAGAGCATGGAGTGGATGTGAGGGATTGTTCATTATCGATCTCAGCTTAGAGAGTATTCTCCGCTCTGCCACGTGCTGGACCGTGTCAAATTCTATACCGACAACAGAGCCAGCCTTCTTGAAGTTTGTTGACTCTGCTTCTATCTCCCATGCGGGCGCCCTCTCCCCAGCACACCACAGCAAAGAACAGAGCACTAGCCACCTCTGTCTGATAGACGCTACACAATAGGGGATGGCTGATGTTAAATGACCTCAGCCTCCTTAAAAAATAAAGTCTTTGATCCTTCATGTACACCATCTCCATATGGCTCTTCCAGTCTAGCTTGTTGTCAAGCTGCACGCCAAGGTATCTGTGGCTGGAAACCATCTCCACCTCGATGCCCCGGATGGTGATCGAAATTGATTGTGTCCTCCTCTTCCTCCTAAAATCTACAATCATCTCCTTGGTTTTTAAGATGTTATGATGGAGATGGTTGTGGTCACTCCAGTCCACAAAATCCTTAATCGTTCTCTTGTACTCCTCCTTATCTCCCTTAATTAAGCCGACAACTACTGTATCGTCAGAGAATTTCTGAAGGAAACAGCTATCAGTATTATACTGTAAGTCTGCAGTGTAGATGGTAAACAAAAAAGGGGCCAAAACAGTTCCTTGTGGCGCTCCTGTGCTACTCAGAATAGTATTAGAGACACTATTCTGTAGACGCACATACTGTGGTCTGCAGGATAGATAGTCCATACACCACAGGACCAGTGATGAATCCACCTGCATTCTCCTCATCTTTTCGCACAACAGTTGAGGCTGAATTTTATTGAAGGCTCTTGAGAAGTCAAAGAATGTGAACCTCACAGATGCATCAGGAGTGTCCAGATGTGCATAGGTCCTCTGTAGCATGTAAATGAGAGCGTCATCTACAGCAATATAAGGCTGATAAGGAAACTGTAAAGGATCCATGTAAGTTGACACACTAGCCTTGATGTAAGTGAGGACCTGTCTCTCAAACGTCTTCATAATATGTGAAGTGAGTGCTACAGGTCTATAATCGTTGTGGTCACTAGGGTGTCTATACTTGGGAACAGGGACCAGACAAGATGTTTTCCACAGTCCAGAGACCTTCTGTAAATACAGGCTTAGATTAAACAGGTATGTGAAAATACCACACAACTGTGCAGAGCAGGTCTTCAGCAGTCTGGGGCTAATACCATCCGGCCCCACTGCTTTCCCCGGCTTCAGTCGGTCCAGTTCCCTCTTGACCTGAGATGGTTGAAGAATTAAAGGCGGAACTACTGACAGAGAAGGGAGAGAAGAGAGAGGACTCTGGGGATATAATATAATGGGTAAGATGGTGGGAGGAGGGGTAACAGCACCCGACAGCAGGCCGGATGGGGCAGGCTGGGCTAATGTGGGTTTGTCGAATCTATTAAAGAACCTGTTCAGATCGTCAGCCAGGTTCTGGTCACCATCCAGCGAACCCCCCTCCTGCTTCATACCCGTGATCGTCCTCATGCCAGCCCAAACCCCCTTCGCTCCATCCTGCTGCAGTTGTTTTTCTAATTTGCACCTGTATGCTTCTTTCATCTCCTGAATATTCACCCTCAGTTCTCTTTGAATTGCTTTTAATATTTCCCTGTCCCCCTCTCTGAAAGCCTTTTTATTCTCATTTAACAGGGTCTTCAGGCTACTAGTTACCCATGGTTTATTATTTGGGAAACAGCGAATTTCTCTGGAGGGCACGATATCATCATTACAAAAATTAATATAATGGGTAATGCATTCTGTTAGTCCATCAATAACATCCCCATAAACCTCACAGAAAACATCACAGTCTGTTGTTTCAAAACAGTACTTCAGGGCTTCATCTTTCCCCTGGGGCCAGTATTTTAATGTTCTGTTGGTGACAGTCAGCCTCTTAACCAATGGAATATAGGAGGGAGAAAGATGTGCCATGTCATGGCCTGATCGACCAAGAGGGGGCAGAGCAGTGCATTTAAACGCATCGTTCATGTTAGCATACAAGAGATCCAAGATCTTATATCCCCTTGTTGTACAGTCAACAAACTGCTTAAATGTGGGCAAAGTTTTAGAGAGAGAGACATGGTTATAATCACCAAAGGAAAATGAACGCGTCTGGGTACTTCGACTGAAGTCTCGCGATAGCTGCATGCACTACGTCACAAGCCACTTCCGCATTGGCAGACGGGGGAATATAAACAATAATGGCAGTCACCACTGTGAACTCTCTTGGCAGGTAATATGGTCTTAAACTAACCGCCAACAGTTCAATGTCTTTATTACAGATCTGTTTTTTAATAGTAACATGACTGGGATTACACCACTTTTCACTGACGAGCAGAATTAGCCCTCCTCCTTTCTGCTTACCGCTCAACTCAGCATCCCTGTCTGCTTGTATCGTCCGGAAGCCAGTAAAGCTGGTCAAAAATTGGGTAATGCTGTCCGTCAGCCACATCTCAACCAGACATATAAGGCTGCTCTCCTGATACATTTTCTGGCTCCTTACAAGAGTTTCTAGTTCCTCGAGCTTGTTAGTTGAACAGCGAACATTTCCCAAGGTGATAGATGGTAGGGATGGTTTGAAAGTATCTCTCCACGCTCTCTCTCTGCTCCTCTTATTTCTCTTCACCCCAGCGTGAATTCCCCGATGTCTCCTCAGTAATATTTCCTCAGAGATATCATGTATGATCCCAAATTTTGAATCTTGTGCCAGGTCAAACAGTTCTTGTCGGGTATATACCAAAAGTCTGCAGTCCTCTGCCCATATAGATTTTCCAGATGTCAAGTCCATATCAGCAATAAAAACACAATCGCTAAAAACACTACAAACACACATAAAGCTGCACGCTACAGGCTGCCGCCTCACCGGCGCCACTCGGAAAACTGGAGCTCTGTGCTCTTGTATCCTGCTGTATGTTCACAAATTGCAAAACACTCAGTTTTACAAATGAGGACGTCCTCAAAGGGAGGTTTTTGGTGATTTTGTCAGGTTTTCTCACTTCTGGATACTAATTATTCCCCAAAATATGGTTAAGAAGGTTCACATGCGCGTTCACACACACACACACACACACACACACACACACACACAGGTATTCCTATCACTATGGTCACATTCCATAGGAGTAATGGGTTTTATACTGAACAAACTATCCCCCTACACTAACCCTAACCCTAATCCTAAACCTACCCTTACAAAAAAAAATAAATTCATAGAAAAAAAGTCTCCCACAAGGACAAGGATTTCAGATATTGCCATCTTTGTTGGGACATTTTGCTCCCATAACATAGGGTTTACCTGAACCACACATACAGTATATACATACAAAATAGTGGTTATCATCTAAGATAAATCACTTAGCGCAAAAAAAAAAAAATTTACATTTGGTTATCCTTAAATTGCAAACAAGTTTTTTTTTAGACACTATATCTATTGAATATACATCTAGATATCTATAGATGCTCCAAATGATTCACTGATTAACCCATTTAAGCCCACCGGCAACTATAGTTGCAGTTTATAGTTGTCGTTTTCCTTTTGTAAGTATTTTTCTAGATGTTTTCCATGTTTTATTTCTCAATGACATGCAAGCAAACAACCAAATAAAGGATTTCAAGAAAAAAAAATGGTATTCACTTCTTTCCTGTCACATGAGGCTGTCAAGTTCCTACCCCTACTTCCAGGAAGCATGGGGAAGGCAGTTTTCAAGTGACAGCAGCAGTTTACAAACTTCCATTAGTCACACAAAAGGAAGAATGGAAAAATAAAGAGCTAACGCATGGGTTTAATTGCTGTAGATTTTCCTTTTCTCCCTTTTATGACATTGTCTTGTAAGGGGCAAAATATCCTGAAATGTTTGAAAAAAGTGCACTTTTGATGATCTGTTGTGAAATTAGTACTAACAGTTTTGAAAATGTACTAGTTGCTTGTGAAAATAGTACCAAAGTGACTGAAAAAAACTATTCATGTGTTCTTCAATTCTTCCTTTTATTTCTGCTTCAATGCTCTTATGATGCATTGCGTTTGTCAACTACTTCCACATCCCCTGTCCTTTAAAGCCCTTCTCTTGCAGTCCGCAGACAGACGCTATCTGGCTACTGAAACTGATTTGTGTTTTGCAATCTGGATCTTGATATAGCCTAATAATGTCCTGTAGCATTCTGTATCTGCTGCTGTTTGTGCTGTTCAGCTGTAACTGCAGCAGTATGTCTGAGGCACAGGAGGAGGAGAAGAAAGCACTCACTGGCAGGAGCGAGTCTTTACCTGTGGAGTTTGGTGCTGCTGGGAATCAGCAGTCCTGCCTCATCACAGGCCTTTACCCACTGTTGGCAGAGCTGAGCTCCAGTCTTCAGTCTCTGAAGGCCAGCATGGACCAGGAACAGTTTAGGAGAAAAGGTACTGTAGGGCCGGTTCACACAGAACGCATTTTTGCTTTGAAAAATGCGAGACACAGGAAGTGGAATGGGGAAAAAAACACAAGGTCACAAGACGCAAAGTTAAACAAGAAAAACAATACAAAAGTAGCGTAGTGCAATGAAAAAAAAATGTGTTCTGTCAATGTGTGAACCAGCCTTTTAAAGGAATACCGAACAGTTAGCATTCAAAACTTCTTATGCATAGTTACAAAATTGTAAAGCTGCCTTCGCATGCTAACGTAAACTTCCTAATAGCCACTTCTGAATTTGTAATACGAGTTTGCCGTGTTCAAGTGCTTTGTTGTCGGAAAGAACAAAAATCATGGTGGACAGCCTATTCATTCTTACCTGTTTCTTTGGGAAATTTTATGTAAGCCAAAAGGTACACTCTAAAAAATGCTGGGTTATTTCAACCCAACTTTGGGTCAAATATGGACTAACTCAACAGTTAGGTTAAATTTTTACATTAAATTTTTAACCCAAAAGTTGGGTTAGTCCATATTTGACCCAAAGTTGGGTTGAAACAACCCAGCATTTTTAGAGTGTATAGATTAGAAGATATTTAGTCAATATCTGACAGGTTTTGAATAAAATTAAGCGTCCCATTCATTGGTAGCCATAAACATTCACAGCACTATCTAGGTATTCAGCTGGCTGACGATTCCTAAATTTCAGTCAAATAAATGCTATTTTCGCTGTGTTCAATAAATACAATATGCATTAAATGGTTAAGTATATATGTAAATATACATGACTGTAATGGCAGGAGAAAGCAATGTATATGTTGTGAGAAAAACAAAAACAAATAAAACTTTACAGTACTACTGCTATGTTTCTTTCCTCTGACATATTTAAAGTTTATTGCTCGCCCAACTCGGAAACTCAGGTATCAAAATTATCTCTGAGTTTCTCAGTTGTAAATAGCACTAGGGAGGCCGTTCATGTCCAGTTTGTGACTAGGAAACTTCTATTTACGATCATTCCGATAGCACGTGAAGGCAGCATTAGTTACAGTATTATGTTGAATCAATGTGATTTCTGATTTATCACACAGAAGAACATAATATAGCATTTTCTGCTACACTCGGAAACAGAGGAGATGTTGGGCCCTTCAACACAAATTTCCCACTGGTTTACCAAAAAGTATTTTTGAATGCTGGGTCATGTTACAACACAGGCACTGGTATGTGGTATTTACCTTGTATCATCTTGCATATTTAAATGACACTCTGAACCCTACAGTTAAGTAATTAAGTGCAGTTATCACAGATGATAACACATGATATATGACAGTTAATTGTTGGCTATACTATACAGGCATTTTCACAGCACCTGTTAAAGGAGTCTATTTCTTCAGTCTTTCTGGACATAACAAGACATCCAAACCCATGGCTCTAAGACTCTTTAAAAATGGAGAGCCGATGACAGGTGTATACAACCATCCTCTAACTGATGCAGGTATCCGGTATGAATCATTGTCTACTTCAATCACTTTGATGCTGGAGAAAGGAGATCAGGTCTTTGTGCATCTCTTGGCAAATGCATGGGTGTTTGATAATAATGATAATCTAACTCTATTTACTGGCCATTTGGTCTTTCCTCTTTGACCATCTTATTACAGTTTTCCCTAATTGCTTTGGGTCAATTTGTGAATTATCTTTTATTTTTTCTTAAAACAGTAAGTTCAAGTCTCTCCCAGATTTTAATAATGGCATGTGTTTTAGTACATGTCTGAAAACAATCAACAATCAAGTTTGGAAGCATTTTTATGGAGCTTGCCTGCCTGGATGTCATTTTGTGTCAAATGTCTGTTCAAAACAGTATTTGCTGTATAACTTTACATGTAAGAAATGTGTAAAAATGAACATGCAAATGTGAATTTCCTGTTTACATGTAACTTTGCCACAAAAATAAATGTCTGTGTACTACAGTATTGACTTCCCCCAGTAAACTTTTCTCCATGCTGAAATTTGAAACTTTAAAGGGGTCATATGATGCAATTTCAAGTTTTCCTTTCTCTTTGGAGTGTTACAAGCTGATTGTGCATAGATAAGATCCCTGAAGTTGCAAAGACTAAAGTCTCAAAACCAAAGAGATATTCTTTATCAAAGTTAAGACTCTGCCACGTCCCCCTAAAACGGCTCGTTCTAACACGCCCCCACATATCTACCTCACTATGTGGAAATATTTGCGTAATGCTGCCCAAATGTGCACGCAAAGAAAGAAGGCGTGGTTTCAGTAACCGCAGTTAGTGTTGAAGCAGCCATGTCAGGGAGACGCTGTGTGTTTCTAGGCGAAAGCAAAAGCACTTTATTTGGCCTTCCGAAAGTAGATGCATTTAGGAATCTTTAAGATTACTTACAACAGAACAGCAATGCATTTTATGGACGACCATTTCGTGAACCTAGGAGAGGAGGTAATTCTGACTTTGCTATGACAATCTGGCGCTTCTGAATCAGCTACTGTTTTGTTATTAGTTTAAGTATTTGCTATTGACTGTTCAAATGCGGAGTTTTGCGCATCGTGTGTGTGTGCGCGCGAGAGAGAGAGCGCGAGAGAGAGAGAGAGAGAGAGTGAGAGCGCGAGAGAGAGAGAGTGAGAGCGTGAGAGAGAGAGAGAGAGAGAGAGAGAGAGAGAGAGAAATGATCTTTAAAAAAGCATCATATGACCCCTTTAAATTTAGTGGCATTCGCCAATTTACTGACACGATAACTAGGTTTAGAAGAATGAATGAAATGTTTTGGGTGAGTTACTATACATTTTGCACACATATAATGTTGTGATGTCCCATAAAACAGTTTTGACAAATGCACTTAAAATTTAGGGTGCAAATTATAGTGCAAAACAGTTTTGAAGAGGACTGTATGAAAATCATCTTTTGAAAGGGATGTTTAAAGGGGTCATATGATGCGATTTCAAGTTTTCCTTTCCTGTGTATTTGGTGTAACAGAATATGTTGACATGCTTTAATGTTAAAAAAACACATTATTTTTCAAATACTATACATTATTGGTTTTATTTGGGTTTCTAAAGTAAAATCAACTGACATTTTAAAAATATTTCATGCACAAGTTCTTCGGTAAAAAATTAAAAGCTTAAATAATACTTCTTGTTTGTTTTGTGAAACAGTATATTTATGCCAGCACTGTTTTTATTTTATATATTTTTTTAACCCTCAATCTGTCCTTCCTCAATCCTCAACTTTTAAAATGGTTCCCTTCATCTCTTTTGTGACATTTCTACATTTTCTATCTATATTCACATAAAAAAATTCTGAAGGTATGTAAAACATTTTTTTTACTAATCTGGTATTTGAGGTCAATATGACCCCACATTGACATGAATGGGAAATGCGAAAACATCTCTATATTATTTTTTCATTTGCCCAAAAAAAAGCTGTAAATCTGGCATAAATCTGAAAATTTCCACACAGAAATGAAGGCGTGGTACTAGAGCACAAATGCAATGTATAAAATACATGCTCATTTACATGCACACGCACACGCACACACACACACACACACACACACATATACAACATTCAAATCTTTGAACAGTCAATAGCAAATACTATTTGACTTTTTAGATTGAAAAAAATATGTGCCTGCAATTAAGTTTTAGTGACAGCTTGTGTAGCATTTCTGCAAATTTATGTGGCATTATTGCAAAAGTATAATTGCACTTCAAAATACCTCAGACAACAAAAACAAATTCTAACCATTGAGAAAAATACTGTTTTTAATGTATTTTATAATGTTTCAGTATATAATTACAAAATATATATCAAAAAAAGGTCGCAAAACTCTGGACTTTTGGTAGTACCTAGGATAGCAAAGTCCACTAAAGGAGGTTGAGCTTTTTTGCATTTGGCTCCCAAACTCTGGAATAGCCTTCCTGATAACGTTTGGGGTTCAGACACACTCTCTCTGT